CTGACTACTAGCCAGCGGTCCTGCAGACAAAAGAGACATTTGTAGTCAAAGCTCGTCTAAATATTACGTATTTAAGAATCCAGTCCGTACCGCGAAGAAAACACAACTCTTCACCATTACAAAGATCGACTGGTTAACGCTGTTTAAGGAAATAATCGCTGTTTACACTTGAGAATCATACGAAACACATAAGAACAAAGATTTGTTGGCTGATGAAGTGGGTTGGAACATTGGGCTTTAAAGGGTCAAGCAGCACTTAAAATAATTGCAGTTACTAATCTTATGTAGTGCAATTTATGCAAGTGTTGAAGGCACGAGGCATTCCAATGCGTGGACTGCATTTGCTTGGGCGTGCCTTTGACGTGACCAGACAGGGCGTCATTGCAATTAGGTCTGAACAGTTTAATGAAGCAGTACACCCGGAAGGTACATGATTCGAATCTCAGTGCGGTAATCTTATAGACCCCTGTCTGGTTTATTTGGGGGGGGGGGGGGGGGAGGATTTGTGATAGACAGAGGTTGATTTCACCTCAGAATACAAGGACGGACAGTTTGGACCTACGCTTAAAGAAACTGAAATAAAAATATATGGATTTATTTTATTTTAGTGTTAACAGGTGATAACAGTAGATTATAGCCTTATATTAAATTACTCTATTCTGTTTTACTATATTACGTTTCCTTTGACGTCATGTCAAAGTTAAATTGCAGATAATTTTCTGTGATGAAAAAAAAACATACAGTATTTACATACTTACGCACGAGTCAATTTTATCTTTAAAGCCTAGTGACAACAAAAAAAGATTATGTCTGCATATTTTATTACGTGTTTCATATAATTTGAAGTGTAAACGGGAATTATTTCCTTAAAAGCGTTAACCAGTTGATCTTTGTAATGGTGAAGAGTTGTGTTTACTTCGCGGTACGGACTGAATTCTTAAATACGTAATATTTAGACGAGCTTCGACTTCAAAAGGTTAACCAGTTGATCTTCGTAATGGTGAAGAGGTGTGTTTTCTTCGCGGTACGGACTGAATTCTTAAATATTTAGACAAACTATGATCCTCGATGTAAACAGCGATTATTTCCTTAAACAGCGTTAACCAGTTGATCGTTGTAATGGTGAAGAGTTGTGTTTTCTTCGCGGTACGGACTGAATTCTTAAATACGTAATATTTAGACGAGCTTCGACTTCAAAAGGTTAACTAGTCGATCTTTGTAATGGTGAAGAGGTGTGTTTTCTTCGCGGTACGGACTGAATTCTTAAATATTTAGACGAACTATGATCCTCGATGTAAGTTTGAAACGAATTTCTTCTTGTCAAATTATGCAGGTGTTTGATGATATTTGAATATTTGTACTATTGGTGATGAAGCTTTTAGATATACGACCGGACAATATCGCAGCCGCTTTGTGGCTTCATTTTATGCACTTTGTACAAATAACACCTGAAAGGCATTTTCTCAGTTTACGTCTGCGTGCTAATGTACTGGTTTGGTTCGTGACCATAGTTCTGTTGAGGTGGACAGCTTTTTGCAGTAAAATATCATGACGATGTTAATTTATGATGATGGGCTAGAGCTAAGGGTACCCGCAGAAACGATCACTCAAACAGAAAGCGTCAGACAACAGGAACAAAGGAAAGGTAGCATTGAAGTTCACTGGGAAACCTTCATAAATTTGCTATCGTACGTGTTAACAGAAGAAATACGTTTGTCGGCTTACCCTTGTTCCTGTCTGGAAACTAGTTGATGTATCTGTACGTCATTATAACGAAAATGCTATTTTTTTTATCTCTGTCTTGACGTGCTGAAGGCCTTTAGTTTGTAGGATGTGTTTTAAGTAGTAATCGGATAGAACACGAACTGCAGTGAAAATCGAGTTATAAATCTCGGAAAGATAATTCCTTCCTCACTCATCTGACCGTCTCTCGATGTAGTGCAAAGATTAAGAATGGATGGAGTTATATGTCCACTTCGCCATGCGTATTTGTAGCGTGATGCTATTATAAAGAACAGGGAGACTTACGGAAGACGTGGCTGTGGTAATGGCAGTTGTCTGTTGCCCCCGAGGTAAATTCAACTTAAGTGTCTACGTGGTTTAATAAATAACACACATTAAGCAACTGAAATTAACCAAAAAGCCCGCAACTCGTCTAAATTTTATTTTTAAGAATTCAGTCCGTACCGCGAACAAAACACGACACTTCACTATTACGAAGATCAACTGGTTAACCTTTTGAAGTCAAAGCTCGTCTAAATATTACGTATTTAAGAATTCAGTCCGTACCGCGAAGAAAACACAACTCTTCACCATTAGAAAGATCGACTGGTTAACGCTGTTTAAGGAAATAATCGCTGTTTGCACCGAGAATCATACGAAACCAGTGGATCGTAACGTCTTGAACGAGAATGATGGATGACATAAGTTATAAGTCACTTAATTTCATTTGAAGTAAACTTAACAGCTGTACGAATAACAAACTTCTGCTTAGGACTGTACAAATCGATCGACTGTGTCCTGCTACCCGTTAAGGTAATATTGAATCCGAACATTCTTTTTACGAATTAAAATTATGCCTTTAATTATATTTAAAATTCTGCCTTCTCTTTACGAATTTTTGGAAGTAGATTTGTGTGCGTTATTCTCGGCAAAGTACACAATATAG